TGTACCAGAGAACTCAATGAGAGAGGAAAAAAAAAGAATTATATTTAAAGAAAATGCTAGCATTTTATTGAACAATCTAAATAAGTGGAACAGTACACCATATTAAAGGGTAGAGTGATTAATATATAAATGCCAGTTATTAAATTAATAGTCACATTAATTGCAATTCAAATAAAAATATGTAGGTATACTTTCTTTGAAATTGGACTAATGTTTAAATGTTTATATGGAATAGATTGTGCAAAAGTTTATTGGGTAGGTTTGGAAAAGTAGAGAGCCCTTTCCTTACTAGAGAGAGAATAAAACTCACTATATAGAACTGCTAAAGCAAAAACAATGTAAATGTGATATAACTACAGCTGTAAGTACAGGGACAGAGTGACAGTATTTGAGGACTTGTGTTGCGAAATTCCTATTTCAGTTAAGTGGAAAAGGATGTATCTCTAGCTATATATATTTTATCTGGATATTTAAGAGGAAAAGGTCCAGTGTAAGACTGGTTGGATTTAAATCTCAATTTTTTTTCATGAAGTTTATTGGTACTTTTTAGGTACACAATACAGTTACATTCATTATTGGGATCTGGTGCCTTTACATGATGTATTTTGGTTCTTATTTTTTCCCCATTCCCCTGCCCTCCCTTCACCCCCCTCTACCCTTCCCTATTTACAAAGACTTTGTTCCCAGTTTTTCCTTTTCTAATATTAATTCCATTCCCTTCTTTCCTTTCCCCTACCCTTCCCACTTCCCCTACCCCTTTTTTATCTTTATTAAGTTTATTGGTACATTTTAGATATACAATATAGTTATATTCATCATTGGGATCTTGTACCTTTGCATGACTTATCTTGGTTCTTATTTTTTCCCATTTCCCAGCCCTCCCTTCCCCCCCTCCACCCTTCCCTGTTTACAAAGACATTGTTTCCATGTTTTTCCTTTTCACAAATTTTTTCTTTTCCCTTTCTACTTTTCCCCTACCCCTCCCACTTCCTTAACTCTTTTAGACCTTTTCTTTCTGTTTCACATTATCAATTATACAATTCAAACCTTATTTACACTTTTAGTTTTTCACACCAGAGAAACTATTCGCTATTTACACGTGTGTCCTATTTGTTTCACTTTAGAGTATGGCCTCAATGCGCATCCATTTAGCTATAAACGTCTCTAGTTTCTCATTCTTTATGGTTGAGTAGTACTCCCATTTTGTAGAAAAACTGAATTTTCTTTATCCATTCTGCAGTTGATGAGCATTTGGGCTGTTTCCAAGTTTTAGCTATTACAAATTGTGCCTCTATAAACATATATCATTGTGGTGTGATTCTTTTAAGTCTTTTGGGAAGATACCCAGCAGAGGGATAGCTGGGTCAAATCGAACCTCTAATCCTAGTTCTTTGAGGTATCTCCATTATTGATTTCCACAGAGGTTGCACCAGTCTGCACTCCCACAACAATGGAGAAGGGTTCCTTTCTCCTCACAACCCCGCCAGCATTTGTTATTGGTTGATTTCTTGATAGCAGCCATTCTTTGTGGGGTGAGGTGGAATCTCAATGTTGTTTTTTTGCATCTCTCAAATGACAAGTGATGTTGAATATTTTTTCATTTTTTTGCTGCTTTTCTTTGAGAAATGTCTATTCATTTCAGATACCCATTTTTTAATCAGTTCTTTATATTTAAGAGGTCTGATTTTTTTGAGTTCTTTATATATTCTAGATAGTAGTCCTTTGTCTGAGGAACAGCTGATAAATTTTTTTTCAACATTGTAGGTTGTCTCTTAGCTCTGTTGGTAGTTTCTCTTGCAGGGAAGAAGCTTTTTAATAAGATGAGATCCCAGTTGTTGATTCTGTGTACTAGTTCTTGTGCTACTGAGGATTTTTCATAAAGTCTTTTCCTATGCCAATGTCTTTGAAAGTTCTACCAAATTTATCTTCCAGTAAGTTTAGTGTTTCTGTTTTAATATTTAGATCTTTAATCTACTTGGATTTTAGTTTAGTGCATGGTGAACAATAAGGGTCAAGTTTTAATCTTTGGCAGGTTGAAATCCAGTTTTTCCAGCCCCATTTATTAAAGAGGCTATCTCTTCCAGTGAGGATGGTTGGCTCCTTTGTCAAAGATAAGGTGGTTGAGTATGTCTGTAGTTGTTTTTGCATCTTCTAATCTATTCCATTGATCCTGTCCTCCCTTCACCCTCTCTACCCTTCCCTATTTACAAAAATTTTGTTTCCATTATTTTATTTTTTCATAATTTTTCTTTTCCCTTATTTTCTTTCCTCTACCCTTCCCACTTTCCCTATAACTTTAACCCTTTTCTTCCTATTTCACATTGTCAATTACACCATTTGTATCTTATTCACACTTTTAGTTTTTCACACCAGAAAAACTATTCAGTATCCATTTTCTTATATCCTTTTCAATCTCTTTTTTCAGAGTGCTGTAGTTTTCAATGTAGAGGTCTTTTGCTTCCTTTGTTAGATTGATTCCTAGATATTTCTTTTTTTTTTAATGCTATTGTGAAAAGAATTATATCCCTAATTTCTCTCTCAGTAAATCTGTTATTTGTGTACAAGAAGGCTATTGATTTTTGAATGTTGGCCTTATATCCTGCTACTGTACTGAATCTGTCAATTAAGTCTAGAAGTCTTCTGACAGAGTTTTTTGGGTCTTCTATGTAGAATATCACATTGTCAACAAATAATGAGAGTTTAACTTCTTCCTTCCCTATCTTTACTCCTTTTATTTCTTTCTCTAGTCTAATTGCTGTGGCTAATGTTTCCAGAACTATATTGAACAGGAGTGGTGGCTGTGGACCTCCTTGTCTTGTTCATGATTTTAGTGTGAAGGATTTCTGTTTTTGACCATTTAGTATGATGTTGACTAAATCTCAATTTTGTGTATGAGTGGCTATGTGAATTTCATTGGCTCCTTAAATGCTCTAATCATTAATCTTCTTACCAATGTGAAGGGCATAAAGAGTTTATTTAACAAAGCCCCTGGTATATGGAAATTGTTCATTAAATGGTAGCTATTATTGTTATTTGTATTATTATTTCCTTATATTATATAAAAGCAGATCCCAAGTGGACTGGAAATATAAATTTAAGACACAAAGCGATAAAAATAACAGGAGAAACTATAGAAGGGTATTTGTATAATCTCAGCTTGGGGCAGACTTGAAAGGCATAGCAAGATTTAGGAAAACCCCATCACTATAAAACAAAAGCCTTATGTGTTCAAACAAATAAATATTATAAAGTCTATAGAAGACAGCCAAGAAACTTATATCTTTAAAATATGAAAAACTCTTACAATCTGAGGAATAACTATTTTCTTATAGAAGGAGAAAAAAATGGCAAATGGAAGTAAATAATTATTCCATGAATGAACTTCAAATAGCTAATAAATGTGAATAAATGTGTGAAAACATGCTTACCTGTAATAGGTCAGGGAAATGCAAATTCTAATAGTAATAAGCTACCTTTTAAAAATCCGTCATATGGACAAAAATGTTTAAATGTGTTAATATATAGGATTGATCACACCCAGCACTAGCTGGAGAACGGGAAAACAGGGCACCTCAGGGCTGCCGGGCAGAGCGTGACCTGCTGCAGTCCTCAGGAGCAGCTCAGTCGGTTGAATCAACTGAAATCACACCTGAACAAACTTTTTGGCCCAGTTGTCCCACTTTTGAAAAAAAATCTAGAGCTTAGAAATAAAAGTGCAAACAATAAAATGATTTATGTGTATAAGGAAATTTATTGAATCTTTTTTTCTGTCAACCATATCTGTGGTGGGGGAAAAGGAGACCAAAATGAAAATTATCTGAAAGTTTCTTAAGGAAATGGATGAACAAGTTATGGAATATTATGTAGTCCTACAAAGAATAAATTACAGGTATGTGAATTGACCCAAAGTGTCAAAAACGAGTTGCAGGCTGGGGATTTAGCTCAGTGGTGCCGTGGCCTGCCTCGCAAGCACAAGGACCCAAGTTCCAGCCCTGTACCAAAAAAAACAAAAACAAAAACAAAAACGAAAAAACCCAAACCCAGGTTGTGGAGCGATGACGTAGTCGCTAACATTTCTTGAGCACTTAACTTTTTGTGCTATGGTTCTTCGGATGTGGTTGGTCCCCACCCCGCTGGGGTTGGTGTGTTGGAGGCTGGGTCCTCAGTGTGGTTGTACTGAGAGCCAGTGGACCTTTAAAAGGTGGGGCCTGACGGGAAGTCACTAGGCCCCTGGGGGCACCGCCTGTGAAGGACTGAAATAGTTCTTTGGAATCGCAGTTAGGTCCTATGAGCAGCGGTGTTACAGAAAGGGAGTTCGACCCCGAGTGGGTCTCTGGTGATCGCTTTTGCTCCTACACATCCCCCTGCACCCGCCATCCACCTTATGTGATGTGGGGGAAGTGTCATCAGGGCCCCAACCTTGGACTTGCAGTCTCCAGAACTGTGAGCTAAATAAACTTCTGTCTGTATAAGTTATTTAGGTATCTTACTATAGCAATAGGAAATGGATTAATGTGCCAGACTAAGTCATTTGGGTGCAAGGTCCTTGACGAAGATTGTGGTGCGTTCTCTCTCTCAACCGTATCTATATTCTTTCTGGCGTGTTCTGGGTTTTGGTTTTCTGTGCTTTGTTTATCTGTTTTTCTTCCAGAATCATTGTCTGCTAGTGACTTCCTCTTCTGCCCTCTTGGAATTTTAAATTTTATCTTCTTTCCTTTAAAAACTAACCACATGGTGATGGTTTCTGTGACAGCAGGAAGCAAATGTGCGTTTGGCCCACAGTGTTGAATGGGAAGCCTTCAATTTCTTGCTGTTGAATGAGAAGTGGCGGAAAAGCAGCTCTGCAAGTGCATGTATTGATTGATTCACATGATCTATATGAGGGGATGAGGGGATGAGAAGATATATGGAACAGTTAACTTTTGGTTTGACACCTAGATAATCTGTTGTCCTTTAATGGAAAGCCCTGCTGATTTTGTAAATATCATTTCACTTTACAGTTGCAGACGTGACCTGAATCAGCAAGGCGCTGTACTATCGTCGCTTTTGAGTTATTTGCCTAGAGTGTCAGTTATTTTCCTGTTGCTGGCGCCCACAATATAGAGAGATTTTCTTCGGCTCCGTTTCCAGTGGCACCAAGGTGGGAAACTGCACAGCGGACAATTGCTCATCCCATGGTGCCCAGGAAGCAGAGAGAGACGGGAGAAGCTGGGCATCCGAATTCACCCCTCAGGCTCACAGCCCAGGGACCCACCTTTTCTGAGTCGGCCCCACCTCCTAACCGCACCGTCAGCTACCGATTCCTGGATCTCTGAGCAGCGCAACGCCCTGTGATCCAGTCACCCTTTCTAATACTCCAGACCTTTGGGGACATTTTACATCTAGACCATAAGGCTCATGAAGAAGGCAAACACGCATAACTCGTAAAAGAAGTCATCTTAATTAGGGCCTCGAGGCTAAATAGAGCCTTTTGAAAGCCCAGCAGTTAGAAATGAATTATGTGGTCTTAAGATTTAAGATCTCTGCTATTGTAGTTGGCTTCAGCTGCCATAACAAACTATCAAAGACTGGGTGGGTTAAACCCCAGAATTTCATTTTCTCAGCTTCTGGGTCGAGAAGTCCCACGTCAGAGTCTCACAGGGTCAGTTGCCTGTGAGGGTTCTTTCCCTGCCTACAGACAGCTGCCTTCTCACGGTGTTGGGGTGGAGGCTTGTCCCTTCTAGCGTCCTCTCCTCCTTACAAGGGCACCGGTTCAGCTGCATGAGAGAGCCACGCTCCCGCTGTATTTAACTCTTGTCGCCTTCTCACAGGCCCCATCTCCGGAATCTTAAGACATGAGGGACGAACACTTCAGCAGATGAATTTCCGAAGGGACACGATTCAGTCCGTGGCACCCTTTAATTATGTTTCCGTTGCATTTGAAGAAGCCTGCGAAGAAAATCCTATAAGAAAAGGAAAAGGAAACTGCCTTTCAGTGCACCTTTGTGACATATTCTGACAGCATAAGATTTTAAAACTACCTTAGTCCTCTTAACATCGTGTGTTTGTAAAATTATTTTCTTTGCTTTTCTGCTAGTCCATCGGTTCAGCCCATCAGAAGTCAGTGGAGCAGCGTGTTCCATTATCAGTGCACAAAACCACAGGATTAATGAATATTCTAGCAAGAGCAATCACATTTATTAATATCCCCATAGAACTGCGGCCTAAAACAATAAACAACCCAATAATTTTGTATCCATTAATTAAATAAGTAAATCTCCCCATCTACAGTTTCTAACATACTGCAAATTCCCTGATGATAAAAGAGGAAAGAGAGGAAAAGAAACATTCGATTTTCAAAAAAAAAGATAACTTTGGAAAGAGAATGAATCCAAAAATGTGTAAACAAATAATTTACATTACTTGGCAGCTCCGAATTCTGGTGAACCGCATGCAGAGTTAATAAGCCCAGTTGATTCCACTGTGGTGGTAGTGGTGCTGGAAAGGCCAGCAGACACCCAAGAAGATGGTAGGAAAAGGAAAATGTTGTTTCCATTCTTTCAGTGAATATAATCAAAGATACCACTTTTTTTTTTTTTGGCCAGTGCTAGCTAGGCCCTTTTCAAAAGCAATCTCATTTAATTATCTCACTAACTCTTTCAGATGAAGAAATCTGATCAAAGGGAGAGAGGAGAGAAGAAGAGGAGGGAGGCCAAAAGAGTGAATGAGAGAGAGAAAGAGGCAAAACCTTGACCACAGCAATACAGGCCATCATCACTGGGAGAACAGTTTCGGATGCCGAGAGATCTGACTTCAGAGCCTCTGTGTTTATCACACACGGACTGCTGTCTACACCTACAGTTACTTGTTTAATCTTGGTATCATTTCTCAGAGAGTAGGATCCTAGAGGCGAAGGCCGTGTCTGTCCTGTTGATCCTCCGGCCCCTTCTGCTCTCTGGCGTCTTCCCTGTGGCCTCCATTGGAAGCAGGGCCTGTCCTACAACGTGGGCTGCCCATTTGGTGCAGTCTGCTGTGAGTTTATTCCTTTCTCTTCGGCCAGGCCTCGGATGCCTGGCCTGTTTACATCCCACCTGGTCTCCTCCTTTCCCAGTTCCCTCCAGACTGTGTTCCACGCAGCACTCACAGTGCCGTTTCTCAGTGTAAACCGCATCATTTCGACCTTAGACGAAAATCCTGACCCTGACCTTATGAGCCCGATTTACAAACCCTGCCCTCATCTGTCCTGCTCTGGTCTCAGGCCTCCTCTCCCTACTTTGAGGCTTGATCTACCTGCAAGGTCCTCCCGTCACTCTCAGCTCAGTTCCACCTTTGAGGCTTTGCCCAAGCTGGTTCCTTCCTTTGCTACTGTATTGTTTAATTGTTCCAGAGAAATACATGGCCAAGGAAGCGCATATGTGGGTGTTCGTTGTAGCATGGTGTGTGGAAAAACTGAAAACAACCTCATACCCTGTGTCAGTAAAAAGGACCTATAGCCTGTGGTACAGATTCTCTGTGCTTTGGAATATTATGCAGCAGTGAAAAGGATTGATCCGCACTACTGGAGTGTAAGCTGGCACACACCCTAAGACTGCAATTTGGCAAAGCCTATCAAAATCAAGAATTCAAATACACTTTGTGCATTTTCCTTTCTGGGAATTTATCCTGCAGATGTACTTGCACATGGAAAGCAACGTAGGTACAGTGTTCTTTATGATAGCATCCATTTTTAATAGCCAGCATCAGAGACAACTCAGGACTCCATCAGCAAGGGGTTGTGAAAGACACACAGGAACAGCAAGCCTCTGTGGAAAAGGTTCACTGACTGATGTCTGGTAGATATGGGCACTCTGAGGTGTGAGCAGTGCATAAAGTATGCATACAATTTTTATATAAAGGGAAGAAACAAGACTCTAGATTCATATGCATATTTGGTTGAGTGCACGAAGAGTAATTAGTTGTAAGGAATAAACAACAGTGGTTACCTATGAAACGGAGGCGGGACCTACGTCATTGAGGAACAGGAACAGGGAGGACAATGTCATTGTTCGCCTTTTGATCCCATTAGGTTTTAAGCCTGTAGATCTATTGCCTCTTTGTTGATGCACCGTGGTATGAAAGTCTGCCAGACACAGTAAGGAAAATAAGCAAGTTGCAGAACAACACACACATATTTAGAGATGTGGGTGAGGAGACCAAGAAAGATTTTCCCTTTAGAGATGTGGTTCAACTTTGTTCTCAGGAAGCGTGCGATATGTCTCACTTGTTAATTAATTGTAAATAAAAGAATTAAAAAGATTGCTGGTCTGGGTGATTAACTAGGTCAAGGGTTGCGTTCTGAGAGCAGTGACGGTAAGTACTGATTCCTTGACACGTGCCTGGGGTGGACTGAGACGTACTGTGGGTGTGTAATGAACACACTGGATTGTTGAAGACTTGGTACAAATAGAAGAGTGCGAAGTATCTCAGTGCTAATCTTTCATTTGATTACATGCTACAGTGATATTTTGGATAATTGTGGTAAACAAAATATAGCATTAAAAGTAATTACAACTGCTTCTGCTTTTTAAAAATATAGCTGCTTAACAACTTTCAATTGCATATATTGGTTGCATTTTATTTCTGTTGGACAGAGTTATTATAAAAAGCTCGGGGAAAGGCTGAGGGGGATCATGCGTATCATAGGGAGGAGAGGCGTTTTTGGAAATGATGGTCTCCCTTTAGTACATTATGATCCCAGCTGGTCTTTAGTTTTATCTCAGCTTGACAGGGAGGACTGGGATCCAGCATGTAAAGCAGTTGTCGAGCCTGGCCGAAATGCGGGGTGGACCCCTGAGAAGGGCTCGATATGGGGATAGTTCAGAACTTTCCCAAATCTCTTTTCCCTCATTAAAATGTGTACTTCCCTCCTGGTCTTAACTTGGCTAATAATACCTTAACATTCTACCTCCTGTCATAGTAGTTGTGCCTGATTAAGTCCGGCTCTTTGCTTAAACACATGCTAAGAGGCTCGCTTCACTTCCGTGAAAAATGTAAAGCCAAATATGTACCAGATTTATTTTTTCCTTGCAGATTGGCCATAACCAAAAGAAAAAAGAAAAATAACTAAGTACAAACTCTGTGAGCCAAGTGGTAATGCTAAGTGGTGACAATGCTAAGTTCAAACTTTATGGAAGATAAACTGGCAGGATCTATTAGGGCTTTATGCACATCTTTTGACTTAATCACAGTATTTCTCCTACGAGTACAGCGCAATATGATGTATGTAAAAGGGAACTCACTGCAGTTTTGAAACAACTTAAATGTCCAGTAATGGCGACTGAGCAGATAAGTTATATGTATAATTTCAATAGAATTGAAACATAATGTAACTTCATTAGAACGATGTGACTTCACTGTCACACAACTGCTAATGATAAGGCAAATCTTCATTTTCAGGTGTGGAAGAATCTCAGATGTATTGTTAAGTTTAAAAAATAAGAAAGTGAGAACAGTGCCATTTCTGTGGGGGAAAATTAGATATGTATTTGCTGAGTTAAATATCTATAAATGTATAGTTTTTGTTTTTGTTTTTGGTAACAGGGATCGAGCTCGGGACCTTGTGCTTGTGAGGCAGGCAGCAGAACCACTGAGCTAAATCCCTGGCTCCATGTATAGCTTTTTTTTTAAAGGACATATAAGAAATTAGTAACGGGCTGGGGATTTAGCTCAGTGGTTCCGCCACTTGCCTCACAAGCGCAAGGAACCGAGTTCGATCCCCGGTTCAAAAACAAACAAACAAACAAACAAAAATTAGTAACAGTGGTGGCTTCCAAGGAGAGAAACTATTGTAGGCGGAATAAGAGACGAGAGAATTTATCTTTTGCTGTACATTGTCTGTACTTTCCAAATTTTTGTGATACACATGGATTGCCAATAAAAAGGCTAAATAAAAAACATAAAAGCTTCTGTTAAGCAGGAATTTCCTCTTCTCCCAACTCTGTAGAGCTTCCTTTGCCTTCGCCTAACAGTGCAGCTCTTTCCTGGAGCTGCAACTGTTAGTTTCCAAGTGGGTCATAGCTCCTTTGTCCCATTTAATAATTAAAAAAAAGAGTTACATGCATTTATTCAATTGTGAAGAACAGTATCTGGATTTACCAGGTTATAAATTCCAAAGATTTTGATTTCCCCTTTTTATTTTGTCCATTTTTTGAGACTTAACCATTTATTATTAAGATAGTGAAAGTTTTTATTAAGATATTTACATAAAAGTCACATCTCTTTTATTCGTATTCTTTGACGTACTTTTGAAATACACATTTTGGTGATTCAGATTGAAAGGGGGAAACACCTAATGCAGTGCGCCCTCTAGTGGTTAAAAATAAACACACTTCTTTACCTCGCTATTTTTTTTTTCAAAAATCAATGCATATTTTAAAAATCTGAGTGAGAACACGGTAGTTTTCTAAAAATAGTTATTGGAATTAGTTGATGAAAGGGCAATTTATTTTGGTAAGCTATATAACAATAAAATTCATGGAAACTTCAAAAATTGCATCATTTGTGAAATGCTCTGGTACCTGGCTACGGAAAACTAACTAGGTTCTCTTGGCAGAGGTCTGGAAGACCATGCAGAACTGGGATGTGGTCCTCTGAGGGCCCCTTTGTCCAGTGGGACTGGACTGAGTAGTGGCCACGTGAATGATGGTGACTGATGATTCCACTCAGATCAGTGGTAGAAAAACACAATACAGAATCAGTATGGATGACTTTTCTAGAACACCAGTTCTTTTTATTCCTGGTGAGTCCATTTCCCCAACCCTGTCTGTTGAACAGTTCCTCCATTTGTTTTTTTTTTCAGCTTTAATTGAGTTTATTGGTACATTTTAGGGATACAGTACAGTGACATTCATTGTTGGGATCTTGTACCCCTACATTTGTTTATGGTGACATCTTTATTTTTTTTTCTTCTCATTGAGTTTATTGGTATATTTTAGGTATACAGTACAGTCACATTCATCACTGGGATCTTTACATGACAGGTCTTGGTTCTCATTTTTTCCCCCTTGTCCCTGCCCTCCCTTGACCCCCTCCTCCCTTCCCTATTTACAAATATTGTATTTCCATTTTTTCATTTTCTCATATTTTTTCCGTTATTACCTTTCCCCTACCCTCCCACTTCCCCTATACCTTTAGCTCTTTTCTTCCTATTTCACATTGTCAATTATATCATTAGGATCTTATGTACCATTATAGTTTTTCACACCAGGGAGACTATGCAGTATTTATACATGTGTGACTTATTTATTTCACTTAGGAGTATATCCTCAATATGTATCCATTTTCCTATGAATGACTCTAATTTCTCATTCTTTATGGCTGAATAGTATTCCATTTTATAGAAAAAAAAAACCCACATCTTCTTTATCCAGTCTCCAACTGATGGGCAAATGGGCTGTTTCCAAGTTTTAGTTATTACAAACTGTGCTGCTATAAACATAGGTGCACATATAGCTCTGTGACATGATTCTTATAATTCTTTTGGAAAGATACCCAGCAGAGGCTGGGTCAAATGGAACCTCTAGTCCCAGCTCTTTGAGGTATCTCCATATTGATTTCCACAGTGGTTGCACCAGTCTGCGCTCCCACCAACAATGGAGAAGGGTTCCTTTCTCCCCACAACCCTGCCAACATTTGTTATTGGTTGATTTCTTGATAGCACCCACTCTTTGTGGGGTGAGGTGGAATCTCAGTGTTGTTTTCATCTGCATCTCTTGAATGACCAGTGATGTGGAACATTTTTTCATATATTGAGTTGCTGCTTTTATTTCTTTGAGAAATGTCTGTTCATTTCAGATGCCCATTTTTGAATAGGGTCTTTATATTTGGGGGGACTGATTTTTTTGTGTTCTCTATATATTCTAGGTAATAGTCCTTTGAGGAGAAACTGGTAAAAAATTTTTCCCACATTGTAGTTGTCTTTTAGTTTTGTTGATGGTTTCTTTTGCAGTGCAAAAGCTTTTTAATAAGATGAGATCCCAGTTGTTGATTCTTTGTGCTAGTTCCTGTGTTACTGAGGATTTGTTCATAAAGTCTTTTTCTATGCCAATGTCTTCAAGAGTTCTGCCTAACTTATCTTCCACAAATTTAGTGACTCTTTTTTAATATTTAGATCTTTAATCCACTTGGATTTTAGTTTAGAGCATAGTGAAAGATAAGGGTTGAGTTTTAATCTTTGGCAGGTTTAGATCCAGTTTTTCCAACACCATTTATTAAAGAGGCTATCATGCCTCCAGTGAGGATGGTCAGCTCCTTTGTCAAAGATGAGGTAGCTGAGCACATCTGGATTTGTTTTTGTGTCTTCCAATCTGTTCCACTGATCCTCAGGTCTGTTTCTTTGCCAGTACCATGTTGTTTTTATCACAGTGGCTTTGCAGTATAGTTTCAAATTGGGAATTGTTATACCCGCTGCTATGTCTCTGTTGCCTAGGATGGCTTTTACTATTCTAGGATGTGATATCTTTATTGTATATTAAGTTCTGTCATGCAGATGTGTGTACTTTAGAGATCTGTATTCTATCCAATAGGCTTTTAGTCAGTTCTTGTGTCATTATTATTTTG